TCCGGTCAAGTTTTCGCCGGCAGGTCCTCTCATCAAATCGATCTCTTCAGATATAATTATAGCCGGTATCTGATTAGCCATGAATCCAGAATAGTAAGCTCTATTTTCTTTGTGTTCTTTTTTACCCTTGCGTTTCTTTGGGTTGAATTTGTCATTTGGAAGCCTTTGTTTTTGTGTTGTTTTTGCTGGATTAGGTTAGATCTGGTTGATGAGGAAGATAGAACTTTTTAAAGAAACGTTTTGTGTTTTGTAGCTTAATTAATTGAGGTTTTTTAGATGGCGTTGCTCTTTGTTGTGATTTGGTTGAAATCGGGGTGATCGATTGGAGATCTCAATTTATTTACCGTTGTGAAAAAAAAGGAGCCTGTTAATTTCGTGTTGCTTCTCGAAATGATTGGAGGTGTTTGAATGTGAATTTAGTTGTCGATATTGATGTTCAGCATGTAATATCAGCTTGAATTTCTGAAGGATTATGTAACTCGTTTGATTCTTATTTTATTTCGAGTATTTCTAAAATCTTATTGTTTGGTTTCTTCGTAATCCTTCAGGAGTGTTATATATGCACTATTTTACGTAATGGACTTTTGATGTTTAGTATTGACTATTTAACAGTTGGGAATACTGTGAAAATTTTTACTCCTTCGTTCTTGCATCTGCAGTGACTATTTGTTTAAGCTTCTGCTTATCGGAGACTCGGGAGTTGGAAAATCATGTCTTCTACTGAGGTTTGCTGTAAGTTTTCAGGATTGATTCTCTCCCGATAATCTTCTTTCTTCCACACTCTTTTTTCCTTTTGTTTTCTTGTCGAGAATAGAAGATGCATCTCTAATTAATAGTATAAATTGTTTTGCCATACCAAATGAGCTAAGAACAGTTACTGTGACTAAAGTGCGTACTCATGCGCTTCAAACTGTTTGTTCTTTGTTGAATACCATCCAAAGTTTATCTTTGACTCAGATAAGGAGTCTCTTCCCAACAGTTAACACCTCATCGTTTTTAATGTTTTTTGCCCCTCCCTTTTTTATATATACAACAGAACTTGATTCCTTTCCTTTTAAGTTGGCCATAAATATGTTCATGCAGAATTATGTTTATTTAAGTCACTCTTAAAATACGATAAATAAGCTGTTCACAGTGATTAGTTATTGTTATATTTTATAGAAATTCTCATTTTGTGTAATAGAGATTCACATAAATTTTGCATTGGTTGAGAATTTTGAGTCCCTGTCAATTGACGTTTATTGAGGTTGTTATAGCACGCAGTTTGGATATATCCACTTGTTCCTTATCTAATTCCTTCTCTCTTTGAAACAGGATGATTCGTATCTGGATAGCTACATTAGCACAATTGGAGTTGACTTTGTAAGCTTCCACCACTATTTGGTTTTCTTTACAAATGACTATTACATGAATATTTACAGTTCTAACGCTTCGATTAAATTTTTACTTGTAGAAAATCCGTACTGTGGAACAGGATGGAAAGACTATTAAACTTCAAATTGTAAGATTGAATCTTATAATTGTCCTTGCTTTAATCTAAGCTTTAGGATTGTTACTTGTCTAACCTTTTTTTTTTTCCCTTTTCTCTTACTTTCTTTCTTCCTTTCTATTCTAGAACATGCTGTTTTTTTCTGTAGGTATGGATAAAATTTAACAGCTGACCTTCTCTTTCTCTATTTTAGAAGGGGAAAATGGGAGGGTTGTTCAATTTTAGTGCAAGTGCACAAATCATTCATATTTTCTTAATATCGCTTGTTGAAGAAGTTTTCAGTGGTTATTTTTGGCCTTTTCGCTGTTAATTGGTAATTTTGATGTCGATTGTAGTGGGACACTGCCGGTCAAGAACGTTTTAGAACAATTACTAGCAGTTACTACCGTGGAGCTCATGGCATTATTGTAATTCCTACACTCTCTTCGTTGTTCACTTCTATTTCCTGATTTTGTCCATCTCCCTAAAGTAAAGCCTGCTTGAATGCTATGTTCTGCTATGTAGGTCGTGTATGATGTTACAGATCAGGATAGCTTCAATAATGTTAAGCAATGGTTGAATGAAATAGATCGATATGCAAGCGAAAATGTGAACAAGCTTCTGGTTGGTAATAAATGTGACCTCACTGCAAATAAGGTCGTCTCTTATGAGACAGCTAAGGTAGTAATTCAACTTGGGTTTCTTTTGATAATTATACATTTGGATGTTGAATATGAATGAGAAGATTAAAATTTGATAGTGATTCATAACCTTAACTTTTCTAAGGCTTTTGCGGATGAAATTGGGATTCCATTCATGGAGACCAGCGCTAAAAGCGCCACCAATGTGGAAGAGGCTTTTATGGCCATGGCTGCTGAAATAAAGAACAGGTATAAATACTAGTAACTTTTCTGATTACATAAACCTATTTTTATGGCAAAGGCTGCTCCAAACATCTCAATCTCTTATCGTACCAAATCGCAGATGAGACAGCCCACAAGCTTACTCTTATTTTATTATTATTATTATTATTATTATATTCATGAGTCTCAGTTACACATAACTCAAAATTATTAAATCTTGGTAGATAACCACCATGGTCAATGATCACTAGGCTATCATAGGCTGATAAGTTCTGAGTGTATGATCCGTAGTTGGGAGGAAACCAAGCTCGAACCTTGAGCCTAACCTACCTTCTAGTGCTATGGTCTTTCACTAGATATCACGGATTGGTAGATAGGAAGTGGTGAACCGCCCCTTCCAACTTCTACCTCCATTCTATAATCTATACCCCTCCACCACCACCAGCTCTGTACCCTGACTTGACCTTGAGGTGGCTAGATTCCTCGTCTTTGCTGCCCTTTTTACATGATTTGAAAGTCTTGGGGTTCATTTGGTATAGGATGGCGACACAGCCAATGAACAATGCAAGGCCACCAACAGTGAATATTCGAGGACAACCTGTGAATCAGAAAGGTGGTTGCTGCTCTTCTTGAAGATGCGTGGTCCTTATTGAATGGTGACTGATGGTGATGTTTATGTGTATGGACCGTGACGTGTAAAACTAGTCGTCTCTCTCTCTCTCTCTCTCTCTCACTCTATGCTTTTGGTATGAAAAGATTTGTGGGTCAAGATTTGCCTTTTCTTTTCTTCTCTCGCCTTTTGTCGTCAGCACGTTAACACTTCCATTCTTTCAAATATATTTGTTTCTGGATCAACATTATTCAGCTGTAAAATTTAGATATCAATGAATAGTAGTGTTTGCTTCATTTCCTTGACTATTATTATTCATTCATTCATAATCATATATATCTCATTGACATGTAATTTCTTTTTAGTCCTGTTGCAAGGTATTCCTGTTTTGTAGTCAATTGGTTACAAGGCGATGAATGAAAAGATACGAACTGATTTGAGCTTTTTTAGTTGCAAGCAGAGGCAAGTGAAATTTAGAGAGCATTATTTTGAGTGTGTTTTTAGATAAAGAATTGATCATTTTGATTTCTGCATTTATCTATCGTTTTTAATTGTCTAAATTTAGTTTTAGTATTTCCAATAAGCCTTAAAATGTCAGTTTAATTTTTTTTCTATAAAAAATTTGTAATAAGAATTTCATTCAATAGGGACTTTCAAACTTTGATTTAAACATAAATAAATGGCAATTCTTCCTTTCATTTTCATTTCAAATCTTATCCATATTTTAGCTTTTGTCTTTTTTTATGTATTTGGGACTCTCTTCAATCGTCACTTTAGTTAATGTTGTTTCGTTTAAAGAACAAAGGTGGTCAGGATAAGGGATACAAAATAATCATGGGACTCCCGTCTCTCAATCTACTTTGAAAAATCGATATAAAAAAGAAAAAAGAATTCCGTTGCCGAGACTTGAACCCGGGTCTTTCGGGTGAGAGCCGAATATCCTGACCAACTAGACTACAACGGATTTTTGTTAACAAATCATTGCCTTTTGAATTTATTGTAATAAAATATGTTTTAAACTTTTAGAAATTAGATTTTTGATTCTCGCTTGGGATGAATTAGACCTCCAAAGAAAGGTCAAAGAAGTGAGTAAGAAAAGACATGCAATGAATGTGCATGAATTGAATAAAGATGGCCGACAAGGTAAAGATAGAGCTTCACATATAATTTTGAATTCAGCGCAAAGCTAGCTCTCATTCATATATTATATGCTTGAAAGCCGTCTTTTTTTAGGGGACCTTGTGAGTCCTATCTACACGTGTACTTGTCTAGTTCCGAGCGCTAGGATCAATAAAATCCGAATCATTCTACCGATAAGATCTTAACCAAACATTTCGTAGTCACTCTTATTTATTCTCAACCTAACTTTATGCGCCTGATTTTCTTCTTCTCCTATGCGTACGTCTCGAGAATCTTTGATTAATCAACGCACAAATCTAAAAGATCTTGAAATGAAAAATGGGTAGGTGAAGTACGTTATGCTTGCTTGCTAGGACGTTTGTTTCGGTATTCAAAGTGCAATCCATTTTTAGGAAGTTCTAGGATACATGGCAGGTTTTGGAGAGTTTTAGGCTACTTTGTTTGTAGGTTTTGAGGGCTGGCTCGACACTTACAGAGCTCTTTTGAAACTTCAATCTCAAGGGATTTATAATTTACATTGATGATTTGATTGAAATGTTTGATTGATTACCGATACAACATGACAAGATTACAACTTTTTTTTTTTTTTTGAATGCTCAGTAACAATCAAAAACATATACATGCATGTAGTATAGTTTCATAATGAATGGTCATCACATCATCAATCAGATACCTCTAATCTTCACTTTTCCTGAACGTTCTATGAATATAACCACATACCAAGACAGTAAAAGTTCATCACAAAACTTCAAAATTTTCAAAAGTTGGGAGAACCTTCGGAATGAATGTTCATGGTCTAATGATTTTGCAGACAGCATTCCTTTTCATTTAAAACAAAACAGCCATTTTGAAGGAACAAGAAAATAGAGACAGAGAGGGCAAAAAGAATGGCAAAATTTGAGAACTAAAATAATAATAATAATAATAATAATAAACATCCTTCAACAAAATCAAAATTGATGCATAACTTAGGACGACTGAGACATAACATCCAAGATATACACTACATAGAAGCAGAGCATTAGAGGGAGTTTCAGAATCCTGTTGGTTGTTGTAACTCAAAAATCCCGATCTGATATCTCAAGAAACTTAAAAATGTAGTGACAAAATAGATTTTAGAGTCGTAAATCCTCACTTAGCACTCAACGAAGGGAACTGCCCTGGATCTTCAATGGAGGGGGCTGCCACATTCATTCTGTTGCTAACGCTGCCACCGTTGCCGTTATTGAGCCCACCTCTTGAGCCTCGCCCACGGCCCCTACCACGTCCACCGGGGCTATAGTACCTCTCACCTTTAGCAGGCTTCAGGAACTCAGTTATGGTCACAGACTACAAACCAAAAACAATTACTTGAATTAGTTCAGGAAATATTAAGTGTATGAAGAACACGGGTTCAAGATAAACTATGGTTGGCCCGAGTGGAAACACCATATACATGAACCACTAGGCACTTGAATACTAATGAACGAAAATTTAGAGTAGCTCAAAACTGCATAAGTAAATCCTGACCAACATTTGTAAGTTGCATACCAAATGAACATATGCAAGCAAATGCCAAGAAAATATCATTCATAACCACAAAACCCATCAATAATTGAAGTATCGACAATGCAAAGAAAACAATTCAGTTTAATTTCTGACATGTAATTAATTAAGACCAGACAGTAATGAGTAGCTCGAAGAACAATACAATGCATACCTTCTTAGCTTTCTCCTCCTTGTCAGCATTATCTTTGCGCTTATCCTTATCAGCACCCTGACAATAAAAATGTGTACAGTTAACAACAAAAGCAAAGCTAAAGATGGAATCGTGAGAGTAAAATGGGAGAAACCCTCACCAATTTAGCAAAGATTTCATCATTGCTTTTCTTGCTGGAAATCTGCTGCATGTTCTCCAACTCTTCATCAATCTCAGCCTTCCTCAACTCAGTCTTTGCCAACAGTTTCCTACTCTCTTCACGGAGCTTCTCATACTCTTTGAGAGTCATTTCCTGTAAAAAGATATAAGAAACAGATTATATGGCCAATTGACATGGCATACTAACCAATATATCAATACTTCAAGTAAGATGTCCTACCTTGTCCTCAGGTTCCTTCTCTTCTGGTTCCTTCACAGCCTCCTCTTTGTTGTTGTCGTTGACATCGCCATCCTCTCCCAATTGTTGCTCTGATGCAATAATCTTCTCATTTTCAGCAACAGGCTCTTCCACATCCCTTGAAATTCACAAGTCAAGTAAAGACAAGTTCAGCATTATCAAATCAGATAATTTTTCAAAATTGGACAAGGGAAACTTACGGGGAAATTTCTTCACCAGGAGCTCCCCAGTTCCTACGGCCAGCCCCATCACGCTTGTACTCATTTCTAAATCAAAAGACTACCAGGGTAAGATAAATACAAAAACAAATTTATAGGAAATTGATGAAACAGGAACTAGTATTTTGTGCAAAGAATTTACTAACCCACGTCCAGTTCCACTTCGGCGTTCATATAATCTTCGAGGTCGTTCCCCTTCTTCTGTTTCCCCATTGCTGAAGCCACCACGACGAGGACCACGAAAAGAGCCATAGGATGCACCATAACCACGCTTCTCAGCTTCCTTTTCACCTTCCTCAGTTGGCTGGTATCGATCGGAGAACCCATTCTTGCCACCATTTTCATTATTGGCCGAGTCTCTGTTGAATACTCCACCACCACCGCGTCCTCGTCCATAGCCACGCCCACCTCCGCGACCACGGCTATTTTCATTCTTTGCCTCCCTTACTGGTCATAAACAAAAATAGAGTCAAAATAATGTACAAAGTACATTTCATCAATGAAAGTAGTAGCCATACTAAAAAAATAATGTACAAAGTACATTTCATCAATGAAAGTAGTAGCCATACTAAAAAAATAATACCCATGTCCCCTAATTCATAAGCTCTTTAACAGAAATAAAATCAACACTGTAACTTACAACAATACTAATTAAAAGTACTGTAATACTGACTTTCAATATGAATACCTCTTTCCATGTACCAGCTCCTGCTCAGGCAGTTATTTGGCATGGCATAAGGGAATTAAGTTAATTATACCAACGAAGGAAGCATAAAGAGCATACTATCTATGTAATATCAACAACAACGTAATTACCTATTTTATTAGATCGTACACCACATTCTAAAAGATTTGCTTAATCCTTGAGATAAATGGTTTTTAATATTCTAGTCCCTTCATTGAATGATTGCTTTTAAGCCGTTTAATTTACCTGTAGCGTGTAAAAGCAAGCCAGAAATTTAAAGACGAATGGTTAGAACAATCAATATTTTTCAAATCAATCTAAATCAGATATGTCATATATTCATAAAAAAAGAAAAATCATTAACCACATAAGAATAACAAAACTAGGCTATACCAGTCAATCGTATAGATCGAACGAACTATAATTTAGGCAATAAGTTTAATCCACAAGAAACAAATAACAAACAATGGAACCAGAGGAACTTCAATACATCCAATCAAGACCGCTTTGCAAACAAACCCACCAACTACCACTAATAACAACAAATCCAAAAAAAAATGACCAAACATCACATGGATGACAAAACCATAAGCAAACAAATCGAAAAGCTCATTGTTCCTTATTCGAATCCAAACAAGAGTACGAGTCGATGAACAAGACCCACCAGCCTGAGCAGGAGGAAGAGGCTTGGAAGGAAGCTTAGCCGCTTTCGCAGGCTGAGCCGGAGCCGGTGCCTTCTTGGACGGCGGCGCCGGAGCGGACCGCTGAGCTGAGGCGAGCTGATTAGGGTCCTCGTTATCGTCGTCGACCAAGAGATCAAAAGGGTTCATGGTTGCCATATCGTGATTGAACAGCAACTCGACGAACTACACAGCTAAAATCAACTTCCAGTCGAAAACTATCAGAAATTATTGCAATCGATCCATAAAGATAAAGAACAGTTTAAGTTACAGAATTGAACTTCAGAGAAAAAAAATAAGTGAGAACAAGAGAGTGAGAGAGTCTGATGAATTGGACAGAAAGAAACCCTAACCAATGCGGCAGAAGGATGAGATGGGAATAAACCCAATCTTAAAAACCCTAGTGAAATAATCTTCTACCCCAATTCTATTTCATATCTATGCGCTCCATATTTTCATTGGCCAAATATTACTTTATAATATTAAAAATATATATCTTTTACTTTTTCTAATTTCTTAATTTCACTTTCGTACAATTTATATATCGTTTCTATTTATGTATTTTTTTTATGGAATTTTAATTTAATTTATACAATATTTTTCAATCAGTAAAACTCTGACATACAATTTAGAAAAAGGTTAAGAAAATAGAAAATAAATAATATAAAAGATTTTGTAATGATGTATTTTATTCGTTAATTGACGTATAAATTCATTCCTTTTTTATTTATTATATTTATTAAGATTAAAATAATAAAAATAAAATAATTAAATGAACTGGGCCTATTTGGGCCTAATTGGGCTTTGGTCTATTATATATAAATATAATTATATTGCATTTAATTATTATAGACTAAAATATAATTATATATAATAATTTATATATATAAGGTAAGAAATATACAATCATTCATTTCTTTTTTTTATGACCTCTCTATATTGCATTTAATTTTTATATAAATCTATATTATAATAGCTAAGAATTAGGGATCTTAGAGCTAGTCAAAATTGCATTGCATTTAAAGAAATTAAAACATACAAAAATGGAATTCCCAAATATAAGTTAGACAAACCACACATTAAATGTTATATAGTTACAACTCAAATCAAATACACCATTTTCAAACCTAAACCTTAGCTACTACGTTTTCAAAATCTAACACATTAAATGATAACAAACTCTATTTATTAACATATTTAATTAAATCATTTTGTTTTATCTCTACGTTTGTTATTAAAATTATATTTAGTCTTTTTCAATTCATTTCATAAATTGTAAATGTTGGTTAAGAATATTTAATACTAAATTATAGTTACCCTATCATTTAACTATGAACTCCATTTACAACGAGCTAATGTTTTAGGACTTTAGTTTTGAGCATAAAGATTATATATATCTATAAATTCTATGAATCTTAATCAATCACAAGAGCTTAATTATTTAGAGAATATAGCAGTATAGTTATGAAACATTAAGATTCAAATATTTAGTATATAGTACGAGTTATTGAATTTGATATCTTAATGTCACACTCGAGTAAATAAATGGTACATGAATGAATCATAATCAAATGTAAATAAAAAAAACAATCTTACAAATAGGATGGATAAAAAACTCTTGAAAATTATTGTCGTACCAAAAAATACAGTATTTTTCGGTTTGGTAGCACAAATTTATGAAATTTGTGGTTAATCGTGCTTGAGATAGTCTTCATTCTTAAAAGTAATGAGTAAGTAACGTACCCTGTTGTAGGAGAGTATCATAACTATTATTAATGACGATTTTAGATTCTGAATCATGCATACACGAGAAAAATAGGTTGGGCTGTTATTTAAAAATGGAAAAAAGAAAAACTTTAAAACATTCCAAATTGACATCAAAATTAAAATGGGCAATGAAAAAATGAAACGAAATAAGTCGGTAAAGTTAAGAAAAGGCTCTACCACTCACAAAGTGACCCGTATTGTCTCAGACCATAGCCGGTGCCGATATCGGCGGCGGCGGCGTCTCCGCTCCGTCGTGAAGACTTTCAAAAGCCTCTAACAACCGTTTCTAATTATATTGGATGCCCGTCAAACTCACCTACAACTCGTACTCTGTAAATTGATTTTGCAAATTAGATATTTATGTTAACTAATAAACTAATAAAAAGAAATTTAATTAAACTCTTAACCAATTTATATATGTTTTTGGAATAACACTATACATTTCATTATTGGTATTTATATTTATTTGTTATTATTCGACTATATATATATTACATATTTATTTATTAATGTGTAACTACATGGATATATATGGACATGTCGACATATAATATAATATTCAGTTTGAGAATAATTAAAATAATTTAATTTAAATATTTAAATTCGAGAATATGGACCTGTCGACATATAATTTCCATCTTTTAAATTTATTGAAAATTTGATTATCAATCAATTTAATTATTGGTGTTATTATTTTTTTTAGGGAAACATTCTAATTTTTTTTATTGTTAAATTATCTATTAAATTCATCACACCAATCTATTTAAAAATTAATTTTATAAACTCAATTGGCAATTATTTTTAATTAAGACAAACAAGTTAATTAAGTTTCAACAGAAAATATATTGGAAATATTTAGTTTTTTATTTAGTTTTTTCTTTAATTAATATTTAATAAAAGTCATGACCCTCTCTAGAACATTAATCAAAGTACATTTATTAATGTGATAAGACTCCCAACTATTACCAACTTTTTTTAGCTCATAAAATCAAAAACTTCTAAACTAGGTTTTTAAATAATAAAAAATTAATTATTTTGATATGGTAGCTTAGAAGTTTTTTTTATAGAATAATTAAGGAGCTGTTAAGATTATTATGTGAAATATTTTTTAATTATTTTGATATGTTTGAATTTAAAATTAAGAATATTAATTATGTGATCTATAATAAGAAATAAGAGAAAAAAATAAAAATATGATTTTGTTACAAATAATAGGATTATAATAAGATTGAAGATAAAAATAAGTAATTTAAATTTATATAATATACAAAATCTATAATGTTAGAGAATTTGAAAATAGGACCGGAATAGTGCGTCTAATCAAGTTAGAGATAAACGAACACTATTCAATTACAATATATATATTTTTAATAATTTGAGAATTAAAATGGTCGGACCAATGGAATAACGCTCTATTGACAAATAACATGTTTTTCATTAATATATCTCGACACGATTTCTATAAACGTGAATCTTAAAGAAAGTGTAAGTATATTAGCGACCAATTCAAATATTTTGACCGCGTCTTTAATTCTATTTTAAATATTTTTTTCTAAATTTGTAATATCACAAATGAAAATATGAGATAATTAAAAGGAGGCTAAAATTATAATATTAATTTTGATTTAATTAACTAAGCGGACACTTCATTAATTAATGGACGGTGACACTACATACCCACGAAAACAATACATTTATGAAATGTCAATATGTCTTATTCAAGTTTGGTAACTGATATGATGTATTTAAAATTGTGGGCTAAATATATTTATTATTTTATAATGGGAAGTTTATAGTTTTTTTTATTATTATTATTTGGATAAAAATCGAGGCTTATATGTTAAATTTGTATAATTTTAAGGGTTTTTTTAGATTTATTTATATATTCAAGCAAAATATGGACCACGTTCCTTCATCACTTCGATGGTCCTAAATACAAGTAGGGAGACACGTTCAACAATGTGCTGATAGTTCTAAATACGAGTAAGGAGACGCGTCCAATAATATCTGATGGTCCTAATTACGAGTAGAGAGATACATCCACCAATGTTCGATGGTCCTAAATATGAGTAGGGAGACACAACCAACAATGTTCGATGGTCCTAAATACGAGTAGGAGACACATCTAGCAATGTTCGATGGTCCTAAATACGAGTAGGAATCAAATGAGTTTTAAACTTAACATCATTCTTTATCTACGAAGATAAAAAATCATCTTGCATGTTGATGTTACTTTATAATATAGCCGAAATTTTGAACATTTGATTTTAAGAAAATAAATACGTATAATTAATCGTCGACGTATTCTCATACATATATATTTTTATTATTATAAGATATCATAATCGTGAGACAGAGATAAAACCACTAACATTTAAATATAATAACAAGTTCACTAAACTATGCATATATTGGATGATGTGACTGGGTGACCAATGTTATTATTGTAATTATTATTATCACTCCTTTGGTCCCAATGGATAGAACAATCCATGTTTTTTATTATCCTCTTTCCATCTTATTTGGGTGATGCATTTACATCGAGTGTGCGCATGTCTATTATTAATTTAATTTTTTTAAATTACATAAAAATATAATATATTGTTCTAATTTTTGTTTATTTTAAATTTTAATACACATGTAATAATAATAATAACAATAATAATTTGTGTTATAACTCGCCTAATCTGATCATAAAATTGTCAGATAAAGGCGAGAAAAAAAGATGTTGTGTCCACCATTACAAAAAAAAGTGATCAAATTTACAAAAAAGTCCTCCAAAGAAATTTGGATGAAATTTGGATGAAATCAGGAGGGACTAGGCAAGCACCCTGAGGTTTGCAGCTCTGGATTCAGCCCCAAATCCTTCACCTTACTCATGTACAATTTCTTCACATTCCCCTTCTGGTCTTGCATTAATCGCGCCAAACTCCGTTTTGCATTTGGCCTGAACGGACATTTGGACGACAAGAATCCGTCCACTAAATGCAAATACGCCTCCAAATCATGGCAGCAAGCCACGTCAGCGTTGGGTTTAAGGTACGGCGACATTTTTGTATCCACTCGCAGCTCTGTTCCGACATGTGAATACGTCACCGGTGGAACTTGCGTTATCACGTCTTGTGAGTTTACAATTCGCAATACTTTCACGTTTCTTGATTCAATTCGATTTGCAAAGCTTTTGTTTCCCACGCGCGGTCCGCCGAATGAAAACACCGCCACCGGAGGAATTTCCGGCGAACAAACACTGATCTCATCTGCCATTAGTACAGCCAATGCTGCACCCAAACTGTGTCCGGTTACGGTGATACTTAATGTTTCTCCTCTGTAGAGCTCTGTTAATCGTTTAATTTCTTCCAATACTGATTCCGATAAGCTTTTGACATGGGCTCCGGCGGTTTTGTATAGGCTGAGAAATCCGCACTCGACTTTTGAATCTTCATCGGTGGTGGTGTTGTTGTCGGCGGGGATTTTGATTTGATAAGCTCTGAAATTTTCGGCCCATTCAAGACATGTCGCGGTGCCGCGGAGGGCGATGACGATATCGCGCCGCCCCATACGGGCAATTTCACGGCGGTCGTCGCAAACGGCGACGTATCCAACCCAACT